CAATTTTTAACATTTTCCTGTGTTTTCCATTTTGTATTTTTTATATTTGTAATTGCATTTGATATGATTACATAGAAAAAAGGGGGAGATTGTTCTTTGTGCATAGAAGAAGAAGCGAATACGAAACTTGTGTTGTAAGTCAGCGTCGAGTGAGTATATATTTTTAGGGTGGTTATATTCGTGAGTGTCTCTCTTGTGGTGCACTCTAACGTTAATCAAGATGAACTACCAACTCGCCCAGTAAGTCGTCTTATCAGTTTCAAGTCTTAACTAGACATAATATTGTGTTGTAGATTTCTGTGAATGTTATTGTTTTGAGATTTTAGAACACGTGTTTACCATCGCTTGCTAATTTAGTCTACTGGGGTGACTAGACCTCTTAAGGCAGAGTGCATCTGCCTTGTACCCTTCTTTGTAGCCGTTTACACAACTAAACAAACAAACACACGAACAAAGAAAAGAAACGCGCTCGCTTAAGTCCAGTCATTGGGAACAATTATTCCTGGCGGCTTTGGTTAATTTAGATAGTATTAAAACTATCTGAATCAGCGGTGGCCAGCTGATTCACTCTTAGTTTATTAAAGGGGCTGTAAAGTAAACGTTTGTCTTTAAGAAAACAAGTGGATTAGATTTACATTGTATTTGGATACATCAACCGCACAATATCTGTAATTTTTTCTCCTCTTCCGCAGGAGTAATTAAAGTTTAAAACTTTTCAGATCGCGTCGGCGAAAAAGGCGACTCTTTTTGTTGGCAACAGCTGAAGCTCTGGCGTAATATCACGCAAAGAGAGTCGAGAACGCTTTGACTGCTCCGCTCCAGCTCTCCGTTTGTCTGTGTAAAACAGAATCTTAGTCTATATGGCAGTGCATTTGCTCCTCTTGCTTGCGATACCGCCAGATAGCTCTTGGCAACAAGGTTAATTTTATGAGATCCCATGCCGACAAAGCCTTTTGACGTCAAGTCTTGTTATGACTGCTGTTTTAGCGAAATATCTTTGTTCTGAGAAATATAAGCTTTTCAGTATCAAAGCAAGCTTGGTACTTCGGCTATGTTATTTTCACGCACCATCGAGCTTGTTTATCACAGACATGAACAATTTATTGCCCCCGACCATAACAGAAACATGCATGATTCGACGTCACGCAGCGACTAACCATTGATGCCAGATTTTGGCGTGCAGTTTCGTATTTATAGACGCTTTGCAGCAGCTGTGCATGGGAACCGCCATAACTGACCTTCAGTTTTTGTTTCCCTTTATTACGTTTACTTCCATTCATTATTACCATAGCAGGCTAGGTTATTGCCATCTTAGATTTTATTCTGTCTTTCTCCCCAGCATTTGCTTTTGTGGAGGCTCGTCCACACCGATTTCAGTGCATCGGTATCTCGGTAAAACAAGAGAAGGTCAGCAATGGCGGCTGTATTCTGGCGCGTGTGTAAAGCGTCTATACATTAAATTTATGTCATCAATATTGGGGATATATTTTACAAAATAAAATTGTATTTGGCTGTATTTAGGCTGACCGGAGCCGAAACAGAAAAATGTTTGAATATTACCAAGCAATATCTTTGACTCTCAAACAAAATTTCAGCTTCGATTCTGTTATTGTATTACTCTTCACGTGTACTACTGTTCGTAAAGAAAAATATTGTGGTTACCACATATTATGAAGGGGCAACGCTATATTTCGTTTTTGAAATTTCTGAGGGCTTTGGAATCACTACCTTACTGAAGTATGAAAATATTCTACGAGACCCTCATTCCCGTCATTTATGACTAGGACTGGTCATTGATTAAACTTGTTAACCCGATTAGTTTGAACGATTTCTTCGATTAATTAATCGATTAATCGGTCGCTTTAATTCCCTTGCATAACAGCGCGAAAAGGACAAGAGCATTTGTCGACTTCTATTTTCTTCAATTTTTTGTGATAAACGCCAAAATGTGCGTTTTCAGCTAGGGATGAACATTTTCAGTCGAGTACAATCTACAAATATTCTCACATATTATTATTCTACCGGCGAAGGCATAGTGGAAGAAGTATTCTGGTATTTTCTGACAGGAGCAAGTTTACTGCTGCTTTTTTTATCATAGTTGCTACACCGGACAGCCGCTCGAGAAACCTTGAACCGGGATACTCATTATTGTTTTCAATAAAGACACTACTTCAGAACCGTGGGAGCCTTGGATCGCCACTACAGTTCGCCCTTCGTCATGTCGGCTGTGGAACGACAGAGACACTCTCAGGCTTTTCCGTTGTCCTGCCTGTATCGTCCCTTATGTGTCTGCACTTTCTAAATGTTTAAAACGCACCAGTATACAGCCTGGCCCGTCGCCATTGAGCGGCACGGCGCGCGGCTAGCCTATTGTGGAAGTCGACTGCTTTGAAAGGATCGCCATCGTCGATAGTACCGACTTTAACGTCATATTATGAAAGGGATGTGTGACGTCACACCTGGCTTCGCAGGTTTCATTACGTAATTGTTTGGTTCCGCCGACGCTGACGCCGACGCCAAATTTTCTGCGACACGAGCGCCTAAATGCTATCCCATTATGTATCGCGTTAGAAGGCCACAAACCCCGGGGTGTATGCCGGTGACTGCGTGCAGAGGCAGAGCAGTGAACGTGAAGCTGCGGGACTTCGTCCCTTTTTGGGGAATTTTTACCGGCCAGCAACATGCTGTCCTTGAGGTGTTCCCTCTCTGCGCTGGACACCGCACTCCACTCCTGTGTGTCGTGGACGCCAAGAAAACCGGATGGTCTTTTCATTGAATGAATACGACCTTCGTGCTCAAAGAGGCCCTGTTATAACCACAATAGATGGTGTTGATATTTGCGAGTTGGCTGCCGACAAGCGAGATAATGTTTACTATTCGAAACTAAAAAAGAAGGCAGAAAAAAGCACGTGAAAGGAAAGTTTTTTTGTTTTGTTTTTCTTGGTTCTCCGGATTTCAGGTTCAAGCAATTAACGCATTACTTTATTAATCAGAAGGTTAATCTGCCAATCGCGCCGTCCCATTTATGACCATCTGGGACGTGCTGAGACAAGTAAATTTGATTAATTTATTATAAATACTGGAATGAAACCTCTGTGTAATACTTGCATCCCAAAACCGGGATATATCATGTTGTCGGAAATTGAAGCTCTTCATAAAAGCTTTTACATTATAATGCATGACAAGATTGGCTTGAAGTTTGACGATCACCTGAAGCAAAACGATAATCCTGGCAGAAGGAAGAAGAATAAAAACCTGTGTCATGAGATTCAATAGCTAAAGACACTTTTTATTATTTATTTGTTACTAGATTTGCCTGAGATTTAAATCCGTTACTGCATTGGCGTTGTCGGCATTGCTACGTATGATTGTTGCGCAAACGCATTAGGTGAAATTTATTATTTTCAAATGACAAACGACGATTTCATATGACATTATTTTAATATTAAATGCGTACTACGTGTGTTTGTGTAACTCCCTGCCCAGGTGTTAGATAGAGCCACTCTATATGGCAGCGTAGCTGCCAGAGTAGCGCCACGCTTTTCCCTGTGCCGCCTCTCACCGTGATTGGTGACACCCGGTACCATAGCAACGAGCTGAGCTGGCTCGGTTTCCTTAGCAACCGAGTGACTACCCGTCACGTGACCTCGCAAGAGCCGTGATGTCAGTGCCACCGGTAAGATGGCAGCGCACAGAGCTGGTGGATACGAGTTTGTTCGGTGCGCGGTAGTGGTAATGTGCCGCTTCGTGCTCTTCGTGCTCTCTGACGCAGGTATAACGTGAAGATCTGAAAGAATGTGACTTTATACCTTTTCTGTGCAAGATCGCTTTGGATATTAATACCTGTGCGACAGCATCAGTCATATCGCCGTAGCGGTGCTCGGATTCCTGGAATTTGTTCGAGGATCGATAAGACATTTTGCATGCAATTTTCGCATACTACTAGCCTTGTTTGAACGTTGGAGTGTCTGAGACTCAATGCAACTTGTATGCGTCGCATGTTGGACCTTGGGGAAGTTGCTTCAGCCGCAGATAACCGCGTAATCACGAACTTTTAGCGAGGAAGCGCCTGCGACCTTTAACTTTTTGTACTAATCGGCGATTTCCGAATTGACAGTTCTGAGGACTTTGACAAACTTCCTTTCGTTGCAATAGCTTGCATTTGATCTCAGTGTTTTTTTGTTTGTTTTTTTCAAGTGACAAGCTGGCGTTTGCTCAAATGACGTATATGAAATGACCTGCTCTATAAGAATGCATCAACACATACTATTAAATTTATATGCTCAGAGGTGTGTTCGTCTTTGCAATTAACAGGTTACAGACAATTATTTTTTACGAGTGTAATATTTCTTTTCTGTAGCTGGGCCCGTTTTGTACTCATTAATATCCGCGTGCTATGATGCTATCATCATGTGTGTAAGGTTCTAAATATCCTCTTTGCAATGCCTACAAAAGTCAAAATGACGTCAGCCGACCCCAGCTCACGCATTTAACACGAAAACTGCGTCGCTCGGACGTATGCGCTCGTCAACAATATATTCGTCGATGAACATTTGAATTCGCGTTCGTGGCCAATGAGTGCACATGAGTGCACTTGCGAATGACAAGTTCTATGGTGTGCTTAAAAAACACGGTGGAAGCTTGGGGTCATCGTACCGGTGCCCTAGCATGTCACGACCGCGTGATTCCACTGTTCTCTTTTGAGTTGAGGATTAAAGCTAAGGAAGAAGAAGTTAAAGAATCCTTTCATGACCCCTTTAACACGGGTATGCGTACCAGATAAAAATATTAGAGAGTTTTAGCTTACCGCGTACCGGGCGACCGCCGGGGTTACCGCGACCGCGACCATCGAGCCGGTACCGGACCGAGAGCGTAGCGGGTAAAGAACGTTTTAGCATACCGTAACCGCGCCTGACCGCGCCTATGGAAGCTTCTTCTTTCTCCAACGGCTGGAAAAAGTCATGATGATGATAGTGAATACCGGCGTGGTTCGTTTTTAAAGCGGTACATTTATTTGGACAAATGCCGCATAAAAAGCCACTTTTAAAAAATATTTTCCTCATTACGAGTAGTTATAGTGGTACTTCCTTGGTATACGACCAAGTAACTTAATTTGTCAGCTAAGCTGTTGGATACTGGTCGCGCCTCAAGCCAAACGCATCCGTCGAGGGCTAGCCGACGCCGTCTCGTGTGCTCACCTTGCCCGTGGTGCAACGTGGTGCTGTCGAAGGTAACCTGCGGCAGCCTCGGTTCGGATCATCGGCTCCTTCCACGGGTGTGATGGCGCGCTACAGCGTGTTGGGCGACAATTTACTGTTAAATGAGCTAACGTGGCCGGAGATTGAAGCGATATATTCTGTTCAATCAGAGCCTGTCCCCAGACGCAACATTGGGCAGCACGGATTTGTAGATGTTCCGAACATGGACGAGTGGACGTTCAAAAGGAGCTTTAGATTTGAAAAAATGGATTTAGAAGATCTGGTGGCAGCTCTAAAAATTCCAGCCGAGGTAAAAAGCGCCCAGCGAGTGAGGGTTCCGGGGTACGAGGCGCTGTGCATGACCCTGCGAAGGCTGGCGTACCCCAATCGCCTTTGCGATTTAGAAAGAACGTTCGGTCGGCACAGCTCGGTCATTTCGAGCGTAGTAAGCACTGTCATGGCGCATATAGAATACCAGTTTGGACATCTGCTATCAGACCTGACGAACCACAAGTGGCTTGACGTGCCCTGCCTCAAGAAGCTCTCCGAGGTGAGAATACGCCGGCCTTTTGCAGGTGTTTGCGCTGTGCATCTGTCAACCTTAATTTCCGGGCGATGTTTTGCAGGCGGTGCATGCGAGAGGTGCGCCGTTAAAGAACTGCTGGGGCTTCATCGACGGCACTGCCCGACATATCTGCCGGCCGTCGGTGGGGCAACAGGAGCATTTCTCCGGACACAAGCCGCACCACGTGCAGAAATATCAAGCACTGATGTCTGCCAACGGCATCATCTGCCAATTAGATGGCCCTTTTAATGGGCGACGACATGACGCAGGCAAGTGTCTTCTTTGTGCTCAGATTTTCGTTGATGCTTTCCATGCACATTTTTTTTTTGCACGAGGTTACAATAACAACCGACCCTATGCGAGTGTGCGCAGCTAGTTCTAGGTTACCTTAGCATTGTTCGTTCGTTCGCGCAGTAGTAGACAAATATCTAAATAGCAAGCATTGTCCACAGTATTACTCATAAGCATCCTGCTACATGGCAAGAAGGGCTGAAACCTACTTTGAACACGATATAAGCGTTGTATCCAAGGAACCAGGCCGATGGGGTTCATCGCTGTACCATATTTATTTGGTGGGAGTCGCACTACAGCGCAGGCCCTGTCCCGCAGTGTACAGCTTTCCATTCAACGAACACAAATTTGAGAATGGGTGTAGTCCTCCATTCCTAAAGAAACTAAAGCAGTATATGACAAAAGAATGGTTTCACACAGCTCAAATGATGAAGTAGAACAATTCCGCGGGATATCAGAGAATAAGAGTTTCACTTTCTATTTTTTTAAGAAGCTCCTAAGGTCGCTCCTAAATGTAAGAGAGGCCTTGGTCTTGGATGTTCAGTGCCAATAAAAGTATGCAAATAACCAATTTCAGGTATCCTCAAAGACACCGCCCTTTATGACAACTTGCAAGCCATCAACCACGGTGAAAGATACGTCATCTACGGGGACCCAGCGTACCCACTGCGGCCTCTCCTTCTCAAGCCATTTGGAGGCTCCCGCCTGCTGCCGCACGAAGCTCTCTTTAACAAGAGGATGAATACAGTCCGCCAGGCGGTCCAGTGGGGGTTTGGGAAGGTGGCCGCAGATTTTGCTTTTGTGGATTTCCACAAGAACCAGAAAATGTCGCGTCAAAGACTTGGGCGCATGTATAAGGTTGCCACCCTACTGTCAAATTGTCACACATGCCTATACGGCAGTCAAGTGTCTAATTTCTTTGAGGTCGAGGCACCCGCCCTTGATGATTACCTTGTGCCCCTTTCCCTTGATTCGTAAACTTCATGTTATGTTTGGTGTATATAGATGCACTTGCATGTAAATGTATAGCATAGGACACCAAGTGTTCCTTTCTTTCTAGTTTCAATTCTACTTCAGGTCCGCTGTTTCCATTTTGCGCGGCATGTAACGCTGTGTTTCTACGTATGTAAATCGAAAGTTCTCTTTGAGCTGCTTTCATTTTCTGAATTTGTTCTAATTTTTTTTTTGTGTTTGCTATCCTAGTTTGTGTGTTTCTGTTTCAATTTACATGCGAGTTTTGCCCCCTCCCCCTATGTAAAGCACCCCGTGGACATTTAAGGGTGATAATTAATAAAATAATGAATCAATCAGTGTTCCCTAGACTGCAATATATATTGTAAGGATTCAGAAAGGACAGAATAACATCCTCAGAAGGTGCAGAGCTATTATGTCCTCTTTTCTGCATCCTTCTAAAATATTTCCATCTTGGGGAACTGCCGCCATGATTAACTGTCGCAAACTCTTCAGCACCTCTACCGTTTTATTGCTTTGTTACTGGCTCTAGAGGGCGGACACACGGGGGAGTCAGGATGTCCTGCCCTCTCTAGAATTTTGAATTTGCAGCCGGAAGTCACTCTTAATGAGATTTGCTGAATGCAGTCGAACACAACCTTCACTCCTGCAATTACATTGGACAATGGCATAATGAGATAGCACGTACGTCTTAGTTAGGGCCATATATTCGGCCGTGTGTAAGCATGCTCTCTCCCTCCGCCCCCTGGCCTGACCCCCTCTTGGAAAGAAACCCTGATCCGCCCCTGCTGGTTTTGGCCATTCTGTTTCGATATGTAGTATAGATTGTTTCAATAAAGGGCTGAGTCGATGTAATTACCAGACACTTTGTCTCCCTTGCGATAAAGATAAGTACGGTTTTCTAGTTGCTTTATTGTTTATCCAGCTTTGCTATTAATGTTTGAATGAGCTTGAGCTGGCCATCCTGGAGCGCCGCAGCCGTTTTTTTCTCCTCTTCCTTGGCTAGTCTTTTGCATTCCTTTTCACGCATTTCGTCTTCATGTTTCTGCATTTCAAATGCAAGCCTTTTTTCCTCAAGTGCGAGCCGCCTGTTCTCGAAGTCCAATTCTCGCTTCCCACGAAGGCGTAAGTAGCTTAGTGTGGCCGCATTTTGTCTCTGCATTCCTGCAAAAACAAGAAACAATTATAAAGACCACACTACATTCTGTTGAAAGGCTTCTCTAAGTAGCTAGAGGCCAACTGCTACCAGATACCATGCATACAGATACTTAGGGGCATTGCTCACATGGTTCATTGCCATTATAAACAAGAAAAAATTTTAATACGGAATGTAGCAACGGTAATCCATTATAAATGTTGCCGGAGATATGAGGAAATTGAAAAATTGAGTTGTTTCCAATATTTAACACAATATATCAATTACCTTTTTACTTATTACCCTCGCATAGAATATTATAATAGGAGAAGTTAACACCTGCCTCTACATAATAAAGTGCAATAAAGAAAGAAACCAGACAGTACACAGGAGATGCAGCAGCCTGATGAAATGGGAATATTTGCACAGTTTCTGGATGAGGAGCCAGCAAAGCGCATTGTTATGCGCAGGAAAATATCGAAGCGTACAGCATTGAAGGAGGCACGTAACAAGATTTCGTCGCCTTCGCCTGTGTTGTCGGTGAGAAAAGCGGCTTTCCTAGCGTCTGAGTTGGCGACGTCAACGACACAGACAGTGGCCTAAAAACTTCGACCGTGTGTGGAGGCCAGCTCCTTCCCACAACACTGCCCTTTCCTGCTGTCCCTCTCTTCCCTTCCGGCGGCCCGGCAACTCGAAACTTAACAGGAATAAAATCATTTGTGTTTTACAAGTCGAAAGGCGTGCTGTCCCGTGTCTCGATTGAGATGTAAAGACTGTTTCGTTTCATCATCAGCCCCAAAGTGCTTTCCTGAAAGCAGGATTTCAATAAGTTCACAGTAAAAATTTTTTTTGAATGAAGGACTTTTTTTGAACGTAGCACAGAAATATTAGTCAGATTTTCTTTGTGCAACCATTCCGAACAAATTTGAAAATTGCTTTATGGTTCCATCAAAGATCGCTATATTGGAACGATTTGAACCTAGTACAGAGGATTTCCTCACGCAGCCAATAAAGCGTGATTCTTACTAACCTCTTGGTGGGGCTAAATGAGGTGTGCTGGGTCTTTGCTCGTCGAGAGAGGATTGAGAGCTGGACATGCTTTGGCTCAAATTTGCTGGCTCCTCTACAGCATGCTGGTGTTCTGCCACATTGTATATCTGCTCCAGCAAGTCCGCTGCAGATGCTGTCGCACCAAGTCCCGAACTGTTCTCGCCTGGGTTTAGAAACATGATTAATGCACATGGGACAACATATCGCCCATGGCGCAGTAACTAATGAGATAGATGTGATTACCAGGTCTATTATATTTCTTTAACATCTCTGTAGGGAGACAACAAAAGACTCGTAATAACTCAAGTGAAAAAAAGTAGGTTTAGCAAAACCAATGATACAGCTGCGCATCGTGACGTAATCTTTATGTAGATGGGGGTGGCTTGGACACCGCAATACCGATAAGGAAAAAAAATGTTGTGGACAGCTGAGCCTATTAGCTGTACATTTAGCTTCTAGCAATCACCCCTGCTGTATACCTCGTTTAAAACACGCAAGGATAGAAATGCCAATAATGATTTAGGGTTTTACTCAAATCTTATTTGAGGAGTATATAAATTGGCGGAATGTACTTCATAAAGTAGACAGAAGTAAACCATGGACCACGTGCCCACTTGTCAGATAACTTCCCCACCTTCAGCGGCGTCATTTGGGGTCGCGGCATTGAACCCTTCCAGAGCGGCGACGTCTCTCGCCGCCTTAGCGGAGTCTCGCGCCGGAGCACGTGGTTGCGCCGAGACTTTCCTTGGAGCGCACAAGGTCCTTTTCCTGAGGACCGTTTTGGGCTTGTATCCCAGCTCCCGCGCAAGCTCTGCGACATCTTGCAGGAGTCTCTCTTTCTCAGAGTATTGTTCCTCTGTGCCGGACCTGAGTCAAGAGCGCCAACACTTATTAGCAAGTGATAATACTCTATTACGTAGCACTTCGAGGATCGACTTACTTTCGGAGATTGTGCCTTTCCTCCCGAAGGAAATAGGTCAGCAGGAGGTCTAGTCGTTCCATCACGCCGCGCGGTGTGAAATCTTTGCCGGTGGCCGAACTTACGTTCGCGGCTACCTCGCACCACTTCGCCCGGTTGGAAAATGGTGCTGCATTGACGGCGTCTTGCAAAAGACATATATCATCGGACGCGCTGAAACGCATTCTCAAAACAGGCGCAGGGCCACATACTACCTTCTCACTACGCGCCATTGCCATGATCGCTAAGACGCTGCAGTCTAGTCTTGGCTAGCTTGCTAAGAAATTGCAATGTAATGTTGGATCCTCTACTTTTCTTTCATATATTTGTTTGTTCCCTGTGATAAAAAAACAAAACAAAAAACATGCGGTTACTTGAAGAGATTTGTGGCAACTGGTAATTTATTGGAGCGCGCAAATGAATAGAAAGCTTATTGGAACGAATGCAAGCCAAAAGAAAAAGTGAAATTGGTCGTTGTGTGAATATTTACACAGCGCGAGGTTAGTCTGCCTGAATTTGGCGATACTCCCAAGCAGCACGGATTTTGGCCAAGCAATGGCCAATGTCTGGCGATGGTCTCTTGGCCAGTGGCCAGAGAGGGGCCATTCAGTGGCCAATGCTTGGCCGATGGCTGATGGCCAGTGGCCATTGGCCAATGGCCAGATAAAGACCAGTCACCGGCCAGTCTCTGGCCACCGCCTGGCCACTTGGCCAAGGACCATAGCATGCCATTGGCCGATGACTGGCCAACTCTGTGCTGCTTGGGCTGTTTCTTCGCTGTAGATGGGCAGTGTGGCCAGTGCGGTACGACCGAAAACCTGGAGTCTTTAACGTGCACCACCAGTCATGGTTATACGAACGCAGCCGGTACGATGCTCGTCCAGATCGAACCGGGCAGGGACGGGGATTTGAACCCAGTGCTCTGGGTTCTGCAGCGCGAGCTTTCGCTACACGTGCTCCGAGCTGTGGTGCGTTAGCCCACTCGGCCACCGTTCTCCCACGAATGCAAGCAAACAGCATCATCCTGTACGCTGCTTGTTTGCATTCGCAGCTCCATTGCCATCAGCACCAGTCTCTAATGTCGGCTAGGTGGCTCAGGTTGCCGCCCGAAACAAGGGGCATAGCAGTTACCATCCATCTATTCAACCGGCCTGTCCGGCGGCCATGGAAGCCCGGATTTTTGCTATGGACCTCGGGTAGGCGAAAGCCTTTATAGGCCAACCAGAGCCGCTTCACTTGCCCTTTCCCATGTTATGTGGTGCGACGATTGTTTCTAGACGCCCCCCCCCCCCCCCCCCCCCGCCATTCCAAAACAGTAAGTGATTAGTCTACGCCGGCCGTCGGAGCCGATGCCCGGCAGTCGCCATTGACGGTAAACGCGGTAAACCGAGTAGTGTGGCATAATTGGCGCATGCGCAGTTCTGCAGTGACGGTCGCGGTAACCCCCCGGTCGCCCGGTAGGCGGTAAGCTAATAGGGAGTTTTAGAATAACGTACGCAATTTTAGCGCACGCTAGCGCTAAATTTAGCATTTGTATTAGCGCACGCGACGCAGGAGAGTTTTAGAATAGCGTTTCTCCGCCGCGACGCAAAAGCCCAAGCATCTCGCGCTTGCGACGCCACCAAGATACAGTAAAAATTTTTATTTCACACACGAAATGGTGTAACTTTAGAAAAAAAACGAGTTTTTTGGTCCAGAGTAGCATTTTAATTTATTTAAACGTGAGAACGCGACGCAAGCGGACACGACCGCTCAACCGCTCGCGTCGCGTTCTCATGTTTAAACAAATTAAAATGCTACTCTGGACCATAAAACTCGTTTTTTTTTGTCTAAATTTACAGCATTTCGTGTGTGAAATAAAATTTTTTACTGTATCTTGGTGGCGTCGCAAGCGCGAGATGCTTGGGCTTTTGCGTCGCGGCGGAGAAACGCTGTTCTAAAACTCTCTTGCGTCGCGTGCGCTAATACTAGCGCTAAATTTAGCGCTAGCGTGCGCTAAAATTGCGTACGTTATTCTAAAACTCCCTACTCTCTATTGACATTTTGCATGCCGGTAAACTACCGGACGACCACTTGGCCTGTCGGCAAGAACAACGCATATCCGGCGTCCGTCTCTTTTGATGGTGTTAACAATCTTCTGTAGACCACCGTGCTGTCCTTCTTGGTTTAACCCCGTCGACTGTTCATCGCCCAAAACGAGGGTGATACCGTCGTCGACGTCGCTCCTCGCCAGTCGGTGAGATAATCTCATCTTGAATGAATGATTGGGCCTTGAAGAAGTATGGTGCTAAGCATACATTTTCTTACTAT